CCTGAAAATCGAGCGCCGAAAAGCCAATGAATAACGCCTCAAATGGCCGAAGAACTCTTTTTGGGAGCAAGCAGTGGCGTACAACAACGCCAATAAAGGAAAGCTTCCCGGAAATAAATAAATAAAAATCGAAGGCGCAGATCGCTCAAGAGGAAGAGCGACCCTCGGTCAGCAAAAAGGAAAAGAAATAGAGCAGCCTTGCTCTATCACCACCAAATGCTCATTTGGACCCTGACCCGCATACACATCTCAAAGTCCACCCAGCCCAGACCCACGTGCCATCATCAAGAACCTCCTAGCACTCTCGATCGCTTTAGCGTAGCCCGCAACGGGGGCCCAACCCGCTGCCAGCCCAGCCATGACCCGTGCATTCCACGCCCGAAGATGGCCTCCGGCTTTAAAACAGGCCATGTACAGCGGTCCATCCCATGACAAGTGAAGAGTTCATTTCAAAAAGAATAGAGGAAAGGGTATGACAAGGTTTGAACCCGCAAATCCACCATTTAGAAGCTGAAACACATACCACTACACTACAAGAGCGTTTCGTGAATCAAAACACGACTTATAATACTTGGCACTCTCTAGCTGCCTCCCAATTCTGCCAAACATAGCCTGTAGTCTGCCTCCCATCAGCCCTGAAACTCGCCTAGACGCATCATCAACAACAAGCCCATCTTTGGGCTCAAGGCCCGACTTCAACGCGGCCCATCAGTCGCTCCGGCCCGTGCCCGCGTCCTGCTTTTCGGTCCAGCCCTTTCTGAGCTGCCACACCGCACGAAGGCCAAGACCGTCTCCCGCCTCCCGCCTCGAGCCCCGCTTTGTGACCAAACCCGCAAGCCCATTGCGTGGTCCACTTCGCCTATCATCAAATCAAGCTTTCAGCGAATAAAAACACATTCCCTTGGAATCAAACCGGCGCTCAAATTGCTTCTAATCAGATTGCTCACCAGCAGACTACAAGAGCACTTTCTGTTTCTAAACCGCCACGTGCAGTATTTAATCAGTCTTGTTACAATCCTCCACAACAATGCGACTCGCTTAACAACTGGCCCACTCCCCTCCAGACCACATGAGATCCGACCCACATTCTTCAGCCCATTTGCACATAGCAAAGACCACCTCGTCCTACCTCAATTAAACCCGTCTTCAATATACGCCTCCAACTGGGCTAAGATCAGGTGACTAAGGGGGGGGGGGGGGGGGGTCCCTTAGTCACATGACTAAGTGAATCTCAGCCCGTATATCTCATTAAAATCCAATGACTCCAATTAATCCAATTTAATGAAGGGCATGCTAGTAATTATACAATTTATTTATTTGGAAATTTTCTTAGGCCTTTTTTACTTGCAAGTTGCATATACGATTGCATTTGTTACAAACTTGTAAATATGCTATTGGTAGCCACATTCGATGGCCAAAGCAACTCTTAATTGGGTGGGTCCCAGATATTTTGATAGGCATTCTTCCATCAGTGCTACGGACAGTACACTATTGATTCAGTAATTTTCTTTCTATTTATATAAACGAGTTACCGTCCCATATTAATTGTTTATATTCTCGAATTCACAATCTCTAATTTTACTATTGAAAAGTAACCTCATTGTCGACTTCAACTTTGCTGAGTTTTTTATAGGGAAATTGTTGTGTGAAAAAGTATCAAGTGTGTGTTTTATTATTGGTGTATCAACTTATGGAGAGAGTATTTTGCTACAATGAACTATGCGAAGAACACACTTTTCAATCGGATGGGCGATGAAATCATGAATAAATTTTTGGTTGATTACACTGAAAGCGACATCGTTGATAATTTAGACGATGAATGTATTTTGAATACATTTCAAAATATGAAGACATGTTTTGAATCATTGTAAAATATTAATATAAGTTATAGTATCACCTTTATTTTTTTTACATTGGACCCATCTTAGTAAAGTTTCTATCTACACCACTGGCAACATCAATCCAATTGATTTTGCAATTGTAATTTGCAAACACACATGCAATGCCATTTTACAGTTGAGAATGTAATACCAATGTAGATGTGTAATAGACTAATTTGGCCTGAATATTCAAAAATATCCATCATATTCAATATTACTTGGTTTGAACTATTTTGGTCTGACTCGGGACTCAGGAGTCGACGGTCTCGTGAGTCAACAAGAATGCTGACATGGCTACCTCATGGGCATAAGAAAATTAACTGGTTAATATCTTAAAATGACTCTTATTTTATTTTAAATGACTAATTAGACCAATATTTTCTAAAATGTCTATTTTGGTCATAAAGATTAAAGACTAATGACCATAAAGACTAATTTGGCCAAACACAAGAATCGATCATTAAGTTGAACGATCAACACCTTTAACTAGCCGATGCGATAAAGTGTCATATCATCATAAACAAACATAAAAGGTCTATCCTATTTGGCTACGTATATAGGACACAAGGACAACAAAAATAAGCAGAAATTCCTTTAAGATGCAAGTTTGCAAAGATGTAATTGTAATATACATCAATGCAATTGCATAATGCGATTTCACAAATACAATTAAGACGTTCATCCGTACAATTAAAAATGCTGCCACATCACTTTACAATTCAATATGAAAGCTTGATGTGAATGCTTTTAGAGAGTATACCATATGTGTGTCGAGAACTAATTAGACAAAATTCTTCAACAAAGAGAAATTAATTAAATCAAGATCGAAGAAGTTCCCCAAATCAGCTGTAGCATGACAACAAAATTTGAAAGGAAAAAGCTATAGCTAGCACGACATCTAATTAATTGAAACGAATGAAGCCAATGCTATAGCTCCAATAATGATCGATGATGAGAACTGATTCTGTGTCAGCACTCAGCAGCATGTACTTTTACAGCATGAGAACATGTTGGCGAAGCAGCAGACGACGGCGTTGCTATCTGTATCATTATGATCAACAACAAAAAAACAGATCATCTTTCATTTGATCCGATCCGACGCGATCGATGAACCCAGTCTAGCTATGGCCGATAACTTACTTTTGTGAACAAGGGGAGATGGAGGTGAGGCGTCTGCTGCTGGTGCTGCTGCATGATAACGATGAGTTTGATTGATGATGTGAGCTGATGGAGCACTCGCAGATGCTGCTATTATCACAGTGGTTGGTCGAGATGCAGCCAATAATATTGCTGTTGGAGCAAATAACAACATCACCATCAATGATATAATGATGATAACATGACCCCGCAGTATTCTTCCCTGTTTCTTCTCCATCATCATCCCTTGCTAGCTAGCTAGCTGGCTTTCTTTAATATTCCGATTAGATTGGGATGTGGTAACTATATATAGATATATAGAGTATGAACTTTGCCAGTTTTGTTGGGAACCTCAGCTGGCCGGCTAGCTAGATACTGCGCTTATGCCGAAACAAGCAGATGCATACTTACGTACCTTGAGTGTTTGCAAAATTACAACTTTATCATAATCAATTGGACGCGCATAATTGCTTCGGTTCGGCTACGACCGACATGTAATTACCAAAAAAAAAAAAAAAAAAAACAACACCACTAGGGATGGTGTTGTTGGATGCATACGAGCAAGAATTAAATTCCTCCAAATCAAATATTAAGGGGTGATTTGCTTCATGAATTTTGGATGATGGATTTGTCGGACAAATCTCGAAGTATTGTGGATTTGTTTTCAAATCCATTGTTTGCTTGACTTTTTTTAGAAGGCCAAGTCCGTGGTGGTTATGGATTTGAGGATCTGAATTCGTTGGTCCCACGGACTTGGAAATATCATAATTGAACGTAAAATTTGGATGAGCGACAAAACCGTTTACTCATATATCCTCTCTATTTTTTTTGTATTATTTCCTAGTGAGGTTGGTTTGGTAAGTATGTAATTTTCGAGTCAAAACTTCTAACACTACGTACAACCCCTCTCAATTTTAGATGTAAAGTTATAATGCGTATATTCGTATTTTTAGAAAACATTAAAAAAAGGTAGGCTGAAGTATATTAGTTAGGGTGGAAATTGGTGCGGTATAATTACCTGTCCCACAATTTGTGATTAACCACGACCATAAAATCATGATTTTGGTAATTACAAATTGTACTATAATGGATAGTGGTTAATCACTACCAATTGCGATTTGGTGGAATTTGGTTGTGGTTACCTGCAAAAATTCACATTTCAAGGCGTGGAGATGAGGTCCTCACCAACGAATCCGATATTATTTACTAGACTACATTGATGTACTGTTGTGTCGTTCTCGTTCATGGAAATAGAATTTTACATATCTTACTCATTGCGAGACTTTTGCCTTTTCAAATTTGGTATTCGTCTTTTGTGTTGAAGAGAAAAAAGTGACGAAAACTTTTGCTTTACGAAATGCAAACTAATCTCACACACGACATACACACTATACATTTTCATTTTAGTAGTGAATTATTTCATCATAAGAAACAATATTACTTGAAGTTTTAAAATCTCACAAACATGATCAAGTTTTTGAAATTTTACTGGCCAAACATACCCTAAGCTTATCAGTTCACTCTTAACATCCTTGGTATCTTTTCGATCTGTTGTGAGCTAGCTTTCAAGATCTATTGAACTCATTACAACTTTGTTTTGCATGTATTCTGGTTTTTAGCCGAGGTGGACTTGCCGTGTCGTACGTCACAGATCGGGTTGGGCCTTTTTATACCTTCTCTTGGCTTGTTTACTTGGCCTTTTATACCTCCTAAGACCATTCGACGGCGGATACAGCTCCTTCGGTAATTAACCCGTCGCGGAGTTCTCCATGAACATTGACAATATACTTGTCTTGGCTGCTTCTTTTATGGGCAAGGAGGTGAGGATAAGTTGTATCAGATCTGTTCTTCGTTATCTGTTCATATTCTTGCTGCATTTTCTAGAATCAAATTCTTTTCGGGCCTGCAACATGGTCACAAATAGCATAGAAAGTAACAATATGTTGATCATCAGACTTTAACAACAGTATAGAACACAGAACACCCCGTCTGATTCATTCGAATGAAGTTTTTTACCAGTCACAGCATTCACAGCTCCAAACCATCAAGACGAACTGCTAAGTTAAAGTATTGCTTTGTCGGCGATAGAAGGTCGTGAATAATATAAGCTAAGAAGCTGCCAATCTCCTACTGAAGAGTATTACATTAGACATATTCACATATATGATCTCAGCTTCTTTTGAGACACATTCACACTGTCTAACCTTCTCCAAGAAGTCTAGACAACTTCCCCAACTCAACTGATAATCCGGCTTAACGACAATCCTGCTCAGTCGCGGGGCATTGGCCAACAGAAACCTCAACAGGTCCAGCTCAACCTGGGAGCCTTTATAGTTCCGGACATTGACTTCTGCAAGACGTTGACAGTAACTACCTTCAGCTTCAGGATCGGGATATCCATTTGATTCAGATTTCAAAGGAACCAATTCCCTCTCAACATTTAAGTCATTAAGTACTAGAGCGTTCTGCAAATTTTTAAAAATGAAGGAACATATTTAGCCAAAAAAGGAGATTAAAGCACAAAACAGCAAGCCTTGAGTTGACATAATCAGGTGTAGTGCAAAAGGATTTTGCCCTTAAAAAAAAAGGATACACAGAGGTATCCACGGACCAACCTGAATTGTAAGTTTATACAAGTTAGGGGAACTCCTGATGAGACAAAGGAGAACCTCCAGCTCAAGCAAACACTCATCATGAAAACAATTGCCAATATCGAGAACTTCCAACTGGTGAAGTGCCGTAGGAAACATATCTGGAACAGGACCTGCAGCAAGTAACTAAGACAAAAACCGAACATGCGAGACTGAGCATAAAGATGTTCCAGGCGTTTTGGCACAAAAAGAATAGGTTTACATGAAATCAAACTTACTTGGAGACATTCAAAGCTTAGATTCAATTGCTGGAGTGCTGGGAGAGAAGCACATGTAGAGACTATATCTACAGTAGGAATGTCAGTTGTATTGGAATCATACATCTCCGCTTGAATTGAAATCATAGAAAGCATTGGAGTACAACGGAAGCTAATAGTTTCTACACAATACACCCTAAAGATGCACACTTTGAGACGTGGTGGACCTACAACTTCAAGCTTACGAGGACCCACAACGAAGGAAGTTCTCAAATCTTCAAGTAGCGGGCAGTTGAGAAGGAAACCTTGAAAGAAATCATTGGGCAAACATACTTGTTCTAACTGAAGAACAGTAAGCCTGGTAAATCCCACAAACCAAGGTGGCACCTTCAATTCACATGCCTGCAGTTTCAGGCTATTCAATTGAAGAGCACGAAAAAGGGAAGGGCTGATCTCTTCACCGAATGAGTGTGGGTCCAAATCGAACAGAAGGGAAAGTGCAGAGATGCCTTTGTTGGAAAGGTAAGAAATCAAGTGATGAGTATCAGCAGCGGCTGTTAATCCAGGAATTGAAAGCACAAACTCGGTTATAGGCCCATCATGAACCTGCAGAGCTTCATGCACTCTCTTGACTAGCTTATTCACTTCTGATTCAGAATCACAGTCCTCCAATTCATCAAACTCATCATCAAACACAAGGCGGGTGATATTTCTCCAATGGTACCTCCATTGTCTTGACAGTACGCTAGTTTTCCCCGCTTCTCTTATGGGCAAGGACGCGAGAATTAGCTGTATCAGATGGGCGGGAAGGTTACTAATTCTATCCACCTCCAACTCTGTACGCACCTTCTTCTTCTCGATCATATTATAACTACACACACATCAGGAACGAAAATCGAACTCCGACCAGTTATGAATAAGAAAGAGATAAACCCTAACGCATAACAACTGGCCAACCATACATAGACATTGACCAACAAGGAGACTGATTCGGCGGGAAAAGCTAAAAACTTGTGGAAATGGCAGGAAGTGATAAGTTACAGTACCTGGTAGAGGGTGACTGGATGAGTAACTTTCATCAGAATCTTCAAGGTCGAAATCAACAAACCCTAACCAAATCTTCAGCGAGGAGAATGCAGAGCGACGAAAAAGGAAAAACTAAAATGGGAGACAACGGAAGAAAATGAAAGAAGCTTAAGCACAAGTTGGAACCGGGAACTCTTGTAGTCTTGTATCCATCGAGGCAAAACGACAACACAAGTCGTCGTAGGTAGAAAAGAGAGGCCAAAAGGTGTGTCGTTTTGTGTTTAGTAGCAGCATCAGTGATTCACACTACTATCACAGTATCACTATTGCTCGACGGCGTACTCTGTCGATCATTTCTCAGAGTCTCTCCTTGTTTCATTCTCGGCCATGAAAAGGGGCCTAGAGTTTTGCCATCATTTCCCACTCTATGTATGTGTAGAATTCATCATTCTCATTTGGGAATCGAACACGATTATCCGTGTGATTCAAGTCTATCCGTGGGCTTCCTACACCTCTTCACCACTAAGTCCTGGAAATGCCTAATATAGTCTTGGACAGTTTGCTGGAAGCACGTTTTCTTATTTATTTAATCATGATCTCTTCCAACTTGCGCCGGCTCACCATTCGAGCAAGTCTTAAGTCTTTTCAATAGCATCTCTTTGTGACTAGGGTTGTAACTTTCGTCTTTCTTTATTATCCATCTACTAGCATTACGCCCCCATTAGTATAGCTCCCACCATCATTAGACTTCCCAGTCTTCTTTCTCTTAAAGAGTACAAAATGAAGAACCAAAAGACTATCTCAGGGCACATTTTCTTGCAAAATGCTCTTCAAGGCAGTCATATTTCATATTTGCGAACCAATCTTTATCTTCCCATCCATAATTACTAAGGCAAATTGGTGTCGTATTTTATCAAGTGTTGTATATTCAACATTGGCATTAGTGGTCTTATTGTATACTGACTATTGTTGGCTAAATTTATTCTCTTCGTTAACTGATTTTCTCGCCAAATATTCTTCTTGTAGCGTCATACCGTAGAAGACCATTCATGGTACAAATATCATATCGGCAGCCTATATAATATGTTGTTGGAATCAGAGGAGCTGCAGTCTGATGGATGTGGTAGTAGCCTTCAGTGTCCACAAGTGTTGGACATTCAGGACAGCCAAGGCTTGCAGTTAGAAATGGAGCTGGTGAGGTTTGTGTTAGCCAGCGCCCCACAACTTGGCTGAGTAAACAAGGCTTTGGCGTAAATCGGACACTTCAGTGGTTGTGCTGTTGTCAAATACCTGACGGAGGTGAATGGATATAAGCGTGTGTCGAAAGAAGCAAAGGTTATATACGCTTGGAACAATGATGCCAAGACTTTGTAGTTCTCCCCTCACAATTTAACCTTTGGGATCACCGCAACTTCTAGGGAACTGCATGATGTGAAGATGTTTAGTTTTCCTTCTTTTCGACACTCCAAGGGTGTTGTTACTCAGCTTTTGAAGCAAAAGAGGTTTAAGGAAGTTTCTGGGCAGGCCTTACTCCTGTTGCTGTTGAAGGTTGGCTCTGAATCCGAATCCGATCCGGAGAAGGAAAGAAGAGTGCTCCGTTTAAATGCGTTTTAGTATTAGTCAATAAGACTTCGTCGTTTGGTCTTTTATGGTTTTAGTACCTAGTGTTTGGTCTTGTTCTAGGCAGATCATTTAGCCGTTGTGGCTGTTAGCTAAAGCAGAGGAAGTAGTTGATCAGGGAACTATTTCCCAGGGATCAAGCTGTTAGGGTTGTTCATCAGGGCCGAAGTTTTTGGTTCTGGTTAAGAGTCTCGTGTATAAATATTTCATCTTCATCAATGAATAAATCGTCAGTTTGCAATACATCTTGTGGTAACAAAGTGGTATCAGAGCGTGTTTGCGAGCTGTAACCAAGGAGAGTTGAGTGATTTGTGAGCTCAAAGAAAGTGATCGAGTGATTATCTGGGTTGGGAAACACGAGTGAACAAGTGCAGTGAGGAATTACTTGGTGAGTGAAAACATGAGTGAAAGCAGCTTTGCTCAGGTCTGTATACCCAAATTCGATGGGGATTTCGACCACTGGAGTCTGCTAATGGAAAATTTGCTGCGATCCAAAGAGTATTGGACAGTGGTTCAAGATGGAATAAGGGAACCTGCACAGGGAGAGCAACTGAATGAGGCCCAACAAAAGGGCCTGGAGGAGAGAAGACTGAAGGATCTCAAAGCAAAGAACTATCTGTTTAGTTCTATTGATAAGAGCATATTGAAGACTATAACGCAGAAGGCAACAGCGAAGGAACTGTGGGATTCAATGAAGACAAGGTACCAGGGCAGTGAAAGGGTGAAGAAGTCACAGCTTCAGAGTCTCAGGAGAAGCTTTGAATTACTGCAGATGAAGGAGGAAGAGTCTGTTGCAGACTACTTTGGCAGAGTTATGACAGTGGCTAATTCCATGAGGAATTGTGGAGAGCAGATGCCAGATGTGAAGATTGTGGAAAAGGTATTAAGAACTCTGTCCGCTAAATTCAATTATGTTGTCTGCTCGATCGAAGAATCCAAGGATATAGATGAACTCAGTGTAGAAGCTCTGCAAAGTTCCTTACTAGTTCATGAGCAAAAGTTTGCCAGACCACCAGTAGAGGAGGAACATGCATTGAAAATGACATTTGAATATGGAGGCAGAGGTGAAAGAGGTGCTGGTAGAGGCATGTTCCAAGGTAGAGGAAGAGGAAGAGGAAGGGGGCTGAATCGTGATTTGGTGGAATGCTTTAAGTGCCATAAACTGGGGCATTTCAAAGCTGAATGCCCTGAGTGGTATGGCAATCAGCAGGCATACTACACGAGCCATGATTCTCGTTCCAAAGGCCCCAATAATCCCTATCCTGACATGACTGAAGATGTGTTACTGATGGCATTTGTGGAACAACAACAGGAGAAGAAGGAAGTGGTGGCTGTGCAGAATTCCATGGCACATTTGAACACACAGCCTGATGAAAAGAAGGACACATGGTGGTTTCTGGATTCTGGATGCAGCAATCATATGTGTGGTGAGAAGCAGTGGTTCATCTCAATGGAAGCCAGCAGTGACTGTAATGTGAAGCTGGGGAATGGAACCAAAATGGCAGTAGCTGGTACAGGCACAATGAGATTAGTAGTTGATGGAGTCTCATTGTCCATCAGAGATGTGTTTTATGTGCCAGGTCTTACAACAAACCTACTCAGTGTGGGGCAACTACAGGAAAGGCAGCTAAGTTTTGTGATCAAAGGTGGAATCTGCAAGATCTATCATGAGAAGGGGCTTCTACTGCAAACAACAATGAAAACCAACATGATGTTTGTTCTGCACTCTCAAAAGCAGTCAAATAATTCTACAGGGGATCATTTGTGTTTGCAGAAGGAGGCCAGTATCAACACCTTGGACCTCTGGCATAGGAGATTTGGTCATCTCAATTGCCAAAGTCTAGTGCAAATGCAGAAGAAGAATGCTGTGCAAGGGCTGCCACAACTGCAAGGAAATCTGGGAATTTGTTCCACCTGCCAGATTGGGAAGCAACACAGAGGGAGTTTTCCAAAACAAAGCACCTGGAGAGCTACTAAAAGGCTACAATTGATCCACGCTGACCTATGTGGACCAATCACCCCAGCTTCCAATGGAGGCAAAAGGTATATTCTGACAATCACTGATGATTTCAGTAGGAAGCTGTGGGTATATTTCTTAGAAGTAAAATCAGACACTTTAAGCTGCTTCAAGAAGTACAAGGCTCAAGTAGAAAAGGAGACAGGCGAATCCATTATCTGTCTCAGAACAGACAGAGGAGGAGAGTTCCTCTTGAATGAGTTCAAGGAACTCTGTGAAGCTGCTGGAATAAGAAGGCAGCTAACTGCTGCATTAACTCCCCAACAAAATGGGGTTGCAGAGAGAAGAAATAGGACCATAATGAACATGGTCAGGTGCTCCCTAGCAGACATGAAGGTTCCAGCTGTGTTCTGGCCAGAAGCAGTGGCATGGACTGGTCATGTACTGAACAGAAGTCCAACCTCAGCCAATTCTGGAAAGACACCACAAGAACTGTGGACAGGTAAACCTCCAGCTGTTGGCCATTTTAAAATTTTTGGATGTATGGCATGTGAATGATCACTTGAGAAAAAAACTGGATGACAAGAGCATACAGTGCAACTTTATAGGCCTGTCTACTGAATCTAAGGCCTATAAGCTGTATAATCCTATCACCAAGAAAGTCATCATCAGTAGGGATGTGGTTTTTGATGAGACAAAGGGCTGGAACTGGGATTCTGAACCACAACCAGAGCTGACCAGGGTAATGTGGGATGGCAGTGACGAGCCATGGTATGACTCTGAAGGAGAAGAAGAAGTATTTGCAGCTCCAGATACACCAGATGCACCAGAACCAGTCACTCCCATCACACCAGCAACTTCATCATCAACTGGAGCACATCAGGATGATGGGGAGGAAGAAGAAGATGATCCTGATGTGCTTGGCCTTCCTCCCAGTGGAGGTTTAGGTCCCAGAATTAGACATCCACCCCAACATTTGTCAATCTATGACTGCACCTATTTTGCAGGATTGGATTGTCTGGGATTGGACTGTCTGGCAATGGTGACTATCAGTGATGATCCCACCACGTTTGAAGAAGCTGTGCAGGATGAGAAATGGAGGAATGCTATGAAACAAGAGATGGTCAGCATTGAAAGAAATGACACATGGATACTGGTGGAGCTTCCTGCAGGAGTGACTCCAATTGGAGTCAAATGGATTTTCAAAACCAAACTGAAGGAGGATGGATCTGTGGATAAGTTTAAAGCGAGACTGGTGGCAAAGGGCTATGCTCAGAAGCATGGCATAGACTACACTGAAGTTTTTGCACCAGTTGCCAGATGGGACACCATCAGGACCCTGCTTGCTTTGGCTGCATATCATGGATTTCCAGTGTATCAGCTCGATGTAAAAAGTGCATTCTTGCACGGTGAGCTGACAGAAGAAGTTTACATCATGCAACCTCAAGGTTTTGAAGTTCCTGGGGAGGAGCAGAAGGTTTACAAGCTTAAGAAGGCCCTCTATGGACTAAAACAAGCTCCAAGAGCTTGGTACAACAGGATCGAGGCTTACTTCCTTAAAACAG